GGGCTGGAGGAGGCCAGGTGACCATCTCTGCCCCAGGGTCTTCCCATTCATTCCCTTGCAGACCTACAAAACAGCTCTGCAGAACATGGAGCCAGAACATGGAGCTGCAGACAGGCAGCTTCCTCTCTTGCCTGCCCTTCCTCCTCCACAGGAGGAGGTGCCCATCATGACCCATGGTGGATTTGCCACTATTAGAGTTTTGAGCTGAAGTTGAGCATGGTGGTGCACATCTTTTAAACCCAGAACTCTGGAGGCTGAGCAAGGCCAGCGATGACTCCCTGGTTCCCACACCGGCCAGCACCTCTCCCCGGCCACTCGTGCACACATCCAGCACCGGGTCGTTCAGCAGACACCCTCCATGTGGATGGGGTGCAACAGCTGAGCTGGGAGCACAAGGCAGGGCCAGTGGGAACACCCGGGAAAGCAAGAGGGGTGCAGGGGGTCAGGCATGGCCCTGTAGACAGGACCACAGCAAGAGGGGGCTCGGGAACAGCAGAGGGCAGAGGAGTTCAGGCCACTGCCAACCCTCACTGTCTGGAGGGAACCCTGGTGTTTCCCAGGGTCTAAGTGCCTGATCCAACGATCCTGACACCTAGGGGCACAGTGTTCACCATGCTGGGAAAATTGGGAGAAGACAGTTCTGCCCGGCCCTGGGGTCAGGGGCCACCCTGGACCTGGGCAGAGGCCAGAGGGCAATGCCAGGAGAACACCCGGTGGCCCTGGTGCCTGCCCACCCAGAGTCCTGGGAAGCTGGCAGCTCTGTATGTCCTGCAGCCCTGGGAAGAGCACTCAGGGTCCCTAGGAGGCCCAAGACTTCATTCCTCTGGTCCACCAAGGGCAGGGCCACCCTGGCAGGTGGGCAGGAGAGGAGGCTGTCCACAAGAGCCCAGAGAGGGACCATGTAGAGCCTGGTCAGAGCCAAGCTGCCCTGGCCTATCACAGGGTGTGGACAAGCTGATTGGCCACTGGGCCAGCCCTGGCTCTCATCCCAGAAGCCACTCAGTGGGATGCCAGTCAGTGTCTCTGAATTGTGCCGCTCCAGAGGGACATCTGTCAGTCCCAGGGGACAAAGTGTTGCACTTCAGTCCCACAACAGGAAATAGAATCCACTCTGCTCTACAAAGAATAAAGGTGCAGAGCAAGGGAGAGGCCCCATCTCACCCAGGCAGGGCGATAGTTTGAGGATGGACCCCAGGCTCCGCTTCTAAGGGGGCACCGCTACTGTGCTCTGCCTCCACCCCCAGCACTGAGCTCACACCCACTGCATACCTGTGATCATCTGCTGTCAGAGCACGTGTCCCTTTCCTACCACACAGCAGGTCCCAGGGGTCAGACCCGCTACCTGCCTGCCAGGGAGCCTCCCAGGGTCTATCCTGCTCTATGGTCCAGACCCCACCTGAGTGCCTTCCCGTGCCGCCAGGACAGCGCTCTGGGGCTGGCGACCCTCAGGGAGTGGGGACATCTGCATCCACAGGAGGACCCCACCCTGGGCCCCCCAGCAGCCCCGCCACTGTCCCAGCCCTGCACAGACACCCAGCCGGGGTTTGCTGCTGGGCCCTTAGGGTGCCACAAGACTGGTGATGCCAGGGACACAGGTGGGGATGGCTGGAGGCATGGAAAGCAGAGTCCCCACTTACCAGGGTGAGAAAAAGGCCTGCAGGAGGAGTGGAGGGTGGCTCAGCTCCCAGGAGCCCAGACTCCAGCTGCAGGAGGGGCGATGGTGACTCTCTTAGCTGCAGGGCACTGAGGCAGCAGCAGAGGAGCTGCAGGACCCTCAGCCCCTTCTCTGTCCTCACATCTCAGGGTCTGTGAACCAGCATGGCAGCCACTCAGAGCAGCCTCCTGACCTCTCCTCTGCAGTCCTGTCCCTCTGAGTCAGCACGAAACAGGCTAGGCCTCACCTGCACTTTCCTATGCCTGGGCCCTGAGGCAGGAGGAGGAACTGCTCCAGCCTGATGACCAGGCAGGATGTCCTGCATGTGCCAGGCCACCAATGCCAACTCCGTGAGCTGGCTCCATGCCTGTCCCTGGCCTGCACTGTCAGCTTGAAATCGGCCTTGGGGGAGCTTTACACTGGGAAAATTGGCAAAGACTAGACATTTAGTTCAGTTTTTCTTTTTCTCTCTGAGAGTTAACAGACATCTACCAGCAACAACCAATGATTGATGACTAAGATCCCCAACTTAGACGAGTGCCTGATCATTCTTGACATCATCTTTTTATTGGTATTGTAATTTGCATGTTCCATGAACACTTCTAGTGTCAGGTGCTGGGAAGTGCAAAGGTGAATTATTCACACACTGCCTCTCCAGGAACCCAATTTGAGGGAGACATGATTCTACCTGGAGTCTTACAGAAGGGGACACATCCCTCAAGGAGCTCCATGAGCTTGTCCTCCATATCCTTGGGAAGAAGGGTAAGTTTGAAGTAGTAGTGAGAAGTGCGTGGCTTATATCTAGATGTCCCCCAAAGCCTCATGTGCTCATAGGTGGGGCTGTTGGAAGTGACTGGATTGTGGGTGTGATGCTGGCTTAGTCTGACTGGTTAGCACAGTTCTGATTGTAGATGATGAATTTACTGAAGAGGGAAGGAAAGCCCACTCTGGGAGTGGACAGCACCAACCAAGAGACTTGTAGCATGGATGGAATAAAAAGGGAAGGAAGAAGGGAAACTCACTGCCTCCTGCCTGTCCTGCTGTGGACTATTTCTCCATGTTGTCCTGCCTGGGAGCCAGCTGACCATCAACTGAAACCTCTACAAACTGCAAGCCTTTCTTCCTTTAATTTGTAGGTGTCAGATATTTTGTCCCAGCAAAGAGAACTAAGGCAATGAGGCTAGAGACACATGTAGGTGGGCCCATGAGGAGTTGTCACCAAATCCAGAGGGAAGCAAGGAGCCAGAAACCAGGAGGGAATCCCTGTGTACTATCATCATGGACTATGAACGGTCTGCACATTTTGGTGCCCTTGTTCACCTGCTACTCATTAGGTATCCAGATACACAGCTGATGTCCCTGGAATGACCAGCTGCTTCCATTGTCCTTTTTCATCTCTCTGGTGGCATCCCATGGAACAGTTCCATTATCCTTGACCATAAGAGCTCAGCATCCCATGGACCAGTTCCATTGTCCTTGTTCCAAAGGACTGCAGCATCCCATGGACCATTTCCATCTCCTTGTTCCATCAGAGGGCAGCATTCCATGGACTTGTGCTTTGCCCTGATTCCAACAGATTGCAGCATCCCGTGGGCCAGTTCCATTGTCCTTTTACCAGCAAAGTTCAGCATCCCTTGGATTCGTTCCATTGTCCTTGTACCATCAGAGGACAGTATACCTTGGACCCATTCCATTGTCCTTGTTCCATCAGAGAGCAATATCCCATGAACCCATTCCATTGTCTTTGTTCCAGTAGACTGCAAAATTCCATAGACCCTTTCCATTGCCTTTGTACATCAAAGTTCAGCATCCTACAGACAAGTTCCTTTGTCCTTCTACTAGTAGAGTGCAGCATCCCATGGACCAGTCCATTGTCCTTTTCCTTAATAATTCAGCATCCCATGGACATTGCCTTCTTTTTCCATCAGATGACAGCATCCCATAGGCCATTAACAGTGCCCTCATACCAACAGATGGTAGCAACTCATGAGCCAGATCTCAACTTCCCATGGACCAGTTTCTGGACCTTGCACCAAAAGAGTGTAGCAAGCCACAGACTGGTTTCATTAACCTTGTACCAGACTTCAGGAGACTTGTAGCAGTCTTCAGCGTCTCATGGACCATGTTATGGTTTAGATCAAGAAAGTCCCCCAGAGGGCTCATGCACTCACAGACAGGGCTTTTGGAAGGGGCTTGGATCATGGAGGTGCTGAACTCATTAGTAAAATAATCTACTGGTAAGTTCACAGCGGGTGGGCATATCTCCCTCCTCAGACCCTCCCTTCACTGTGTTTCCTGACCACCATTCTGTGGACAGCATCTCCTCTGCTATGCCTTTCTGCCATGACAATTCTGCCTCTGACTTGGAGTTGAGCATGGAGTGTAAATATAAAGGCAAAATAAACTTCTCTTCATTTAAGCTGTGGGTGTTGAGTATTGTGGCCAGGCAATGAGAAAAGTGATTAGTACAGACAGGTCCCATTGCCCTCATGCCAGCAGAATACAGCATCCCATGGAGCAATTCCATCGTCCTTGTGCTTAAGAATTCAGCATCCCATCAACCAGTTACATTGTCCTTGTCCCTCAGACTTCGGCAGCTCATGGGCTAGTTCCAGTGACCTTGCACACCAGAATTCAGCCAACCATGGACCAACACCGTTGTGCTACATCAGCAGCTTGCAGCCTCCTCTGGACCAGGTCCATGGTCCTTGTTCCATAAGAGTACAGCCGCCAATGGGCCAGCTCTACATAGGCTCATCTTTGTGCTTCAAGATGAAGTGGACAGGTAGAACACCTTATCACCTGCTCTAGTCCAGGTCCCATTCCAGAATCCTCCCTTCACCTAGACTGATTCAAAGCAACATAGAGGGGCATCTGTTGACACAACCACGCTTTCAGGTCCTTTCAAATGGTGTAGTGCATCAGTTAGGATGCAGTGAGGTCCATTAGAGGAACAAATATAATATAAAATATACACATATGCTTATACAAGGAATTTACCGGGTAGGCTCGCAAAGGAAGAATGCAAAGTGATCTGAAGGCTGGAGGGGTAGAGGGTCCAGTTGAAGGTCAAAGGGCTGACTCTCTCTATAGAGTCTGGTGCAGCTCCATTTTGGAAAGCCAAAGGGTCTGCATTGGAAGGCTAAAGAGTTCACAGGAAGCCTGGAGACAAATGTCCAAGGACAGTGGCAAAGTCCAGAGCTCCTCCAATGAAGAAAAGGGGAACACTTTCTTCTTCTTTCCCCATCTAAAACACAAACCTATTGGTTGGTGGAGTCCACATCCAGGATGGGTCTTGCCTCATCAGTTTTTGGCCTGTGTGTCAGTCTTCCAGACACACCCGGAGTTTCACCAATCTTCAAAGTGGTCCTTACACAAGTCGAGTTGGTGCATCACAATTACCAATGACATGTTTGATGGGACTTGGCTGAAGCTTGGATTATGAGTTGGCAAACATTTATCCCCTTCCTCTCACCTGTGCATAGGATGCACATCCCTGTCCATCAGTGTGGAGTTCACCCACAGAACTTCTGTGACCAGTGGAAAATTATCTGACTGTATATAAGCAAAGGGCTTAAATGCACTTCCACAGGTTAGCAGATGTGCTGTGTTTCTCATCTGAGACAAGTACTCTCCAATATTTGTCATGTCCTCAGCCTAGTCCCCAGGTGAACCACACAAAACAGGTTGGATTCCAGCCCTCAGTGAGGAGCCAAGTTCACCCAACTGGCAGGAGAAGCAGAACCTCCAGGTCAGCCTATCCCAGATCATTAAGACTTTGGGGGACCTGCAGACCCTTGGGTGTGGGAACAGTGCTTCTCCTGCACACCTTTGAGTCTAGGGTGCTCTGCTACACAGCATTACAGTAGCCACAACTGATAATGACATCTGAGAGAAAAGATAGCAGACACCACCCTGACATCAAAGTTAGCTCTTCCCAAAGGGTGGAGCCAATGAAAACTCCAATGGTCCCTGAATTGCACTGAAGTAAAACAGCCCTGAGGTCTGTGTCTGAGACTCTTCTGCCTAGTCTTGGCTACCTCATCCCTGGTGAATTTCTTATCAGTTTTCTGGAAGTCCATTCTGAAACCTGGCCCTGAACTCCACAGGTCCTGACTCTACCTCCCTCCTCTAGTGGCTGTCCCCGAGAGGCCCTGCCACTGCTCCTGGTGTCATCCCAACACTGGGCGAACTCACAGGTGTTCTGAAATGTCTGCAGTAATTTTTCCCAGCTGTTCACTAAGTAGCCTTGTAAAGGACCCTTCTACATTGTTGGCAGGAATGTAAACTAGTACACCCACTGGGGAAATCGGTATGGAGAGTCCTCAAACAACTAAAACCAGAAATTCCATTTCACCAAGCTCGTTCCCTTCTAGGTATCTTTCCCAAAGCGTTAAAGACAACATATTACACACACACACACACACACACACACACACACACACACACACACATGTTTATAGCAGTACAATTTACAATAGCTAAATCTTAGAAGGGGCCTGTGTCCATCGACAGGTCTGGATAAAGAAAATGTGGTCTGCACACAATGGAGCACTACTCTGCCATAAAGAAGGATAAATCCAAGTCATTTGTAGGAAAGAGGATGCTGCTTCCTGGTCACCATAAGCTAAGCAGCCTTGCTCTACCATGAGGCTCCCCTGCAATGTTTCTGCCTTGGAGCCAGTTGGCCATAGACTAAATCCCCTTAAAACATGAGCCAAATGAAACCTCTCCTTCTTTGAGTAGAGGGTGCCCGGCTGTGTCTCAGAGATGAGGCAGCTGACCCTACCAAATGAAATGCAACTTGAATTCAGGAAAAGAAACTCTCAGGACCTGCTGCCAGTGATAAAATTCACATGTCAAGCAAAAATTAGAATTTTGGAAAACTTGCACCAAAGCACGATAAAGTCCCAACACTTAGGGGCTCTTCTGATGGGTTGGGCTGTTATTTCTGGATGTGATTCTTAATGTCATGAGATTCATCCCCTTTGGGAATATCCGTGAGTTAGCAAACAGAACTTTCCAGCATGGTTTTACAAAATCTTAGTATAAAAATCTGTTCAAGGGCTAGGGATTTAGCTCAGCGGTTCCGCCACCTGCCCTGCCTCGCAAGCCCAAGAACCTAAGTTTGATCCCTGGTACAAAAAAAAAAAATCTGTTCACATCGCAAAATGGACCAGTGGGTTTTCATGTAAAAAAAAAAAAAAGAAAAAATTGTTGATATGCTTTGGATTCTTCATTTTACCTAATCAAGTCTCTGACGTCAAGTTTTAATATGATATCAAAGAATGACATCCACAATTATCTAAAAATTCTGTTGAAATACTTCTCACTTTTCTGACTATAAATCTGCGTGAGGTCAGATTTTCTTTGTATACATCAGCTTACATAAAATATAGCAACAGAGTGACTGCAGAAGAGTTTGTAAATCTAGCCAGGCATTATCAAGCCAGACACAAAAGAAATTTGCAAAAATGTTGATTTTAAAAAGTGTTGCTTTTCTTTTTTTGTTTTAGAACACATAGCTATATTTTTCATTCAATATATGGTATCAGGCTAGGCGTGGTGGTGCACGCCTGTACTCCCAGCACTCGGGAGGCTGAGGAGGAAGAATTGCCGTGAGTTCGAGGCCATCCTGGGCTACACAGTGAGACCCTGTCTCAAAAAAAAATAATAATAATGGTGTCAGTGCTAACATGTAATGATTCTGTTATTATCAATTTTTAATGAATTAACAAATAATGGAAATTTTTCTCTACTCCAATTTCTGGCACTGTAGACATGATAGATATAACCCAGGTTCACAAGCCAGGTCCTGCATGACCTAAACATCAACTGAAGAGATTTATGAGTTCTGTTGGTCTAAACCCATGAGCCACTGGTTTCAGGCCATTAAATGCTTCTCTCGCCACAGGCTGCTCCACACAGTTGCTGTGGCCAGGAAGTGACTGCCTGGGCATGTGGCCAAATTGCTGTCTCGGCCCTGTGACTGTGAGTCCTCGCGAGTTCCAGCGTTCATCTTTTAAGAGAAAAAGATTTTTTTTCCTATTCTCAAAGAAATACATCACCACTGCAGAAAACTTGGAACATACAGAAAAACAAACAAAATATCCCACTCAGAGACAGCTGTTTTAATGCTTTCCTGCCCAGCTTTTAGTCAGGAGATTTTGGCCTGCTGTTTAACGCAGGCCCTGTGGTAAACATACTGCCCTGCCCTGTCTCCAGGTGCTTGGGATGCCACAGCCTCCCTCATCTGTCTTCTCACTGCCCAGGGACAAGAAGGCCAACACCTCCAAGGCATTCAGCAACTTTCCAGGAGGGCCCAATGGAGAGGATGGGTGGTGTCCCTGCCTAGCAGCTGGCTGGGTGGTAGCAGCAGTTGGCCATGTCTGTGCTGCAGAGATGTGGGAGTCTCTAGGTGCCTGTGCTCTGGCCCTGGAGACCTGGTGTCCCTGACAAGTCCACACTCAGCCATCCCTGCCTATCTCAAAAGTCCCACCAGCCCACACACTGCACTGACCCTTTCGCAGGAGCAAAGGGGGCTCCGAGGGGAGCAGAAGAGAACGCCACACTCAGGTCCTTCAAGCAGCAGGACCCTGTCCTCCTCAGCCTGCAGCCCAGGAGCCCAAAAGCAGGACATGGGAAGGGTGGCCCCTTCTGAGCTGGGCAGGAAGCCCTGCCACCTCTCTTGGCTTCTGCAGCTGCCATCCAGAGGTGGCGCCCTGGTGTGTGGACACCACCCTGCCCCTGTTTTTCTGACTCACCTGGGCTTCTCTGTGTCCTGTGCTCTTGCTTTCTTTCTGGTAAAGACACCGGGCACAAAACAAGTCATTCTCAGGCCTTACCCCACCAATACCCTATTTCTCAGCAAAGTCATGCTCAGCGTGTGCTCAGGTGGACGTAACTGAGGACACTGCTCAGTCCTTTCCAGGAGGAGCCGTTTCCCCCACTTCCCTGCCTCCTGGCTTCGTTTCCAAACCTTGGGTCTGGGGACAGCATCAGAAAGCCAGCCTCTGCCCTCCCTCTCCTCGCCTGCTCACTCCCTGGCCCCACATGCCCCATACAGTCCCCAAGCACAGAGCAGGGTCTTGTCCACCACTGAGCAAAGGCCCTGGGCACAGAGGAAGCAGGAAGGCTCTGAGACCTTCTAGATTCTGGCTGCAGTTTGGAGCCACAGCCTCTGGTCAAGCAGCACTCTCATGGGCACTGTGCTCCTGCCTGCCCCTCAGATCTCCTCCCACGGGGTCCACAGCACACACAAGGAGAAAGGCAAGGCCACGGCCCTTGTGCAGGTGGAGGGAAAGTTCTGGGTGAGCTGTTGTGCTCCATGCCTGGAGGTGAAAGACTCGGTGCTTCCTGAGGACACACAGAAGGGGTCTCCGGGATACAGGGGTGCCTTCTGACTCTCCGAGGAGGTGTAACTGTCCCTCCCACCCCACAATTGCTCTCTGCCACCCTTCAGGTGGCAGTTGGCAATCCTGGGGTACAGGTGAGGTTGTATTGTTTGGATGAGAGTCCCCCAAAGCCCAGGAATAAAACGCTTGGTTCCCAGGATGACACTACTGGGAGGGGTGGACCCTTTAAGAAGTAGGGCCTAGTACGTCCTCTGGGCTTTGCGGCCCACCCTTCCTCTCCCCAGTTCCCGCCCGGCTCTGAGTAGGTTTGTACCACACTGCCAATGCCATCTGCACCTCCAGCCAGTGGCCTAGGCATGGGTCCACCCTGAGCAGCCTGGAATGTCCAGCACTGTGAGCTGGAATCAACCTTTCCCCATTACGTTGGTTTTCTCAAGTCTGTGGTTGTAGTCACTAAAAGCCAGCCGACACAGAGGCCATTTCCCAGCCCTGGTCTCACCTTCAATGTTGGGAGCCCCTGGACTGCATTACCCCAGGCCCCAGGCCTTAACAACTCCCTCGCCCTCCAGGCCTCAGCCTGCTGCAAAAGGGTTCCAGGAACTACAGGCCCTCTGGCCATCTCCGAGGGGGCTTGCTGGTCACCATCTCTGGCTGCATTGAAATTGTTCCTTCTAGGTTCTCACAGCACCCTGGCTAACCCAGGTGAGATCCCAGGAGGCCTGATCCCAGCCTGGACTCCTTTACTGTCTCTTGTTCTCTGGCTCTTGTCCTCTGTCCATGTTTGGGTTTTGACAGAAACCAGTGAGGGCAGCTCCAAGTGGCACCTTCCAGTAAGAGGGACAGGCAGGCGTGACAAGTGCTGCACCAGCTGTCTTCTCGCAAAGGCCAAGAAGAAAAGAGTCCTTTAATCCAGACAGGAGTATGTACAAGAATTACCATGGGTAAAAAAAGGGCTTTGGGGTGGGAGCCGTCAGCCTGACAGCAGAGACACTGTGGACTGGTGCCACTGCTCCCCACTGCCCCTCCCCACAGCACCCCAGCAGTGTGCCTGGAAAACAGGCAGGCATGAAAGGACAGCCGATGCCTGTCCTCGGACACTGGAGGAGATTATGTCTGTGATTTAGGGAGAGCAAAGTCTTTGCTGAGAAAACAACAAATAGCGCAATCCAGCCAGGAGAGGAGTCAGTGTCGGGGCCAGGATGAGAGTAACAGTGAAAGTAAGAACTGATTTTCTACTCCTTGTAGCAGTAGCTCCTTTCTTGCTCACAGACTGGCTGTTTTCCTGAAAATAGCTGGAAAACCTGGGCTGTGTGTAGAAAACCAGCTGTTAAGGCACCAGAGAAGATCGCAGGTTGGAGAGGACTTGAGTGACCACGATCCCCAAAAAGACAGTCGGACAAAGAAGGTACCCTGGAGACACTAACGTGGGGCCTGTGATCTGAGTAATGTCCAGGAGACAGATGCTGATACTGGGTGACAGGCGCAGTCACTGGGGAGCGCTCAGATCTCCATCCATCCGTCAATCTGTCCATCTCCACCCACCTGCCCCCCCC